CACCTCTGAGTCATAAAAAGATAGACCAGACACTGATGTGAGCACATACTAGGAAAAGGAAATACCAAGTAATATTCAGACTACTTACAAGCAAGAAATCAACATGATCAAAATCTTGATATGGACTTTTAGACTCCAGAAATGTGGGAGGAAATTTTCTGTTCTTTCAAGTTACATTTAAGTACCACTTGTGGCATTTCTGTTACAGAAGCCTTAGGAAACTATGACATTGGGGTTAAGACTTATTTGTTCAGTTCTTGTCATTTGTAAAGGTTAGAGGAAGCGAACAAACATTGAATCTGAACATAATGTAAATCCTGTGAGTAGCTATTATTGTTGTTATTATGTGCTGTCAGGTAGCCTGTTACTCATAGAGATCCTATGTACAACAGCCCTAAGCCCTGCTCTATCCTGTGCCAATCTTACCATCTCTGACACATCAACCGCATTACCCCATTCACTGAATCAATTAATTTCATTTAGGATCTTCCTCTCTTCCGCTGTCCCTCTACCCTCCCAAGCATGACATCCCTCTCCAAGGACTTCTCCCTCCTTGAAACATGTCCAAAGTAGGTCAAATGAAGCTTCAGAATCCAAAGAGCACCCTGGTTTTACCCTGTCTAGGACGAACCTGTTTGCTTTCTTAGCAGTCCATGGTATATTCACCACAGATTAAAGGCATCAATTCTCTTTTTACTATCCCTAGCCATTGTCCAGCTCTCTGATGTATAGTAAGGGATTGCAAATACTATGGACTCGGTCAGGCACACCTTAGTCTGCAGACTGACACTGTTGCTCTTCAGTACTTTGGAGAGGTCTCTGACAGCAAATGCAATTTGTCTTTTAATTTCCTGGCTCCTGGTACCAAGAGTGTTGATTGTGGAGCCAAGCAAACTAATGCTGGTAACAATCTCTATCTCTTCACCATCTATCATAATGCTGCCAATCTGTATCATGAGTATCATAAGTAGCTATTATTAGATACTCATTATTGTGATTATGTATTCTTATTGGTATATAGTTACTATTCAATATATATTTTTATAGAAATAGAATTATTTATACAGATGTAAACATAAATTTACTATCATTTAGTCTTTGCATTTACTTGAAATGCATCAGAGAGTTTGACAATGACCAAAGATGACAGAAGAAAAATTGATATCTTTGATCTGTGTTGCTGGAGAGGAGTATTCAACATACCATGGACTGCCAAGAGAAAAAACAAGTTTAATCTAGAGAAGGTGAAACCATGCTCCTCCTTGGAGGCTAGGATTTTAAAGCTCCATCTCAGATAGTTTGGGCTGTGGCCGGGAGGGACCAGTCCCTGGAAAAGGATATCATGCTTGGAAGAGATAATACAGGAGAGAAAGACCCTGGATGAGATTAATTGGCAGTGTAACTGGGATAATGGAGGTGTGTCAGAGACTGTGAGACTGGCTCAGGATAGGACAGACTTGACAGCTATTGTATAATAACTTCAGAGCTACTGTACATAACAACAACCATATATAATTATCTTATATATAATAGACATAATATATATAATATATAAATATCAAGAAATATATATTAGAGAGCTCTGGTGGCCTAGTGGCAAAAAGCTGTGCTGCAAAATGGTTTGCATCTCAACATCAAAAAAAACAAAGATTCTGAGTACTGGGTCAATTGGCAGCTCCATGATGGATGGTGAAGAGATTGTTGTTGTTCTTATGTGCCATTTACACACCTGTGAAACATAGTGACCCTATGTACAACAGCTCTGAAGCCTGCCCTATCCTGAGCCAGTCTCACTGACTCCAACACACCTATCCTCATTACCCCAGTTACTGTATCAATCCATCTCATCCAGGGTCTTCCTCTCCTGGGATGTCACTTCACCCTTCTGAGCATGATGTCCTTCTCCAAGGACTGGTTCCTTCTGGCCTCGTGTCTAAAATATGGGAGATGGAGCTTCAATATCCTAGCTTCAAGGAGAAACTTAGTTTCACCTACTCCAAGACAGACCTACTGGTTTTCTTGGCGGTTCATAGAGTGATAGTTAACTCATTATTATTAGGATGGGGAAGGGGGGAGAAAGAGAAAGATTTGCTCAGTTGTTGCTGTTGTTAAGTGCCATCGAGTCATAGGCAACTCATAGAAACCCTATGAATGAAAGATCTGGACACATATATAACTTTTATCCTTTCTTCAGGTTCATACGGTTTCCAGAGACAAGATATTTCAGAAGTGGAAGCCACTCCTGCTTCCAAGCTTGTTTTAACTGGGGAGCTCCACCAAACACTGTCCACCATGGGTAACTATCATTGCATTTGACACATCAGTGTCACAGTGTTCAGCTTCACAGCAACCACGAGTTACCTCTGTACAGCAAGTGGACAGACCAGGGGTAGAAGACTATTTGACTAAAAACAATTAAAAACAGACCTGAGGGCTGCAGATTAAAGTTATCTACCTTTGGCTTGGGAGCATCACTTTCTATCCACTAGGCCAACTGATCTCTCTAGACAATGAGTTTATGTTAATGCTGATTAATTACTTGGAAAATAAATAATGAATACATCTTACTATACTGCATTGAAAAACAAGGAACTCATGCAATATTATTCAAAATGGGTGACCCTGGAGGACATTATGCTGAGTGAGGTATCTCAGTCACAAAGGGACAAATGCTATATGGTGCCACTGACATCGGGGTGGGGGTAAGACTGAGAAAAACCGGATGAAATATGTTTACAGCATTGAAGTCTATGGGGGAGAGAATAGTCTAAAAGTATTATATTTTAGGGCATTATTTCTATCATAGGAGTATGCAATGAGGGTTGCAGAGTGGATTATATTTGGGGTTAGGGGGTGGGGATTGGGGAGGTGCGGGGGGGATTGTGTACCAATGAGGGAGTTTTTCTTTTGCTTTTCAAGGAGAGGAGCAAACGGGGCGCGGGTGGGGGGGTGTTGGGGGGAGGGGTTTGTGCGGGGAGAAGGGTGCAACTATGAATGAATGGAATTCCAAAATCTCTGTAGATGTTCTTTGAAATGAAAAATAAACAACCTAAATTTTTTTTTAAAAAATAATGAATACATCTTACTGGTGAAAGTTTTGTTGTGTATATGACCACAATTTTTTTCTAAAGAGAAAGAAATGTGGATTTTCTAAGTCCTACAGTCTTGTCTTTTTTTTGTCCTTCTTCTTCTAGATAATTGGACTATGGAATTAAGTATTTTTAATTCCATATTGACAACATGAGGGTGTTAGATATGACTTAGACAATTCTCCTGATTTCAGCACTTATATTGTTGGGACTCTGGTGGAGCACTGGTGGCCTAGTAGGTAAGGAGGTTTGCTATCAGCCCAAAGGGAAGCTCTCAAATCTGCTGCCTGTTCAACAGGAGAGCTAGACCATCTTCTCTTGTGCAACTTATAACCTCTAAAGACACACTAAAGGGTCAGTTGGCTAGGTATTGGTTCCAACAACATGGCAATGAGTTTGAGGGGGTTTTTTTGAGACAAAGCTGATAGATGAGAATTTCTACCAAGTGACATCCATTTCCAAAATAGCTTGCCTCCAGAAACTCTATGAACTTGAAGAAATGATGAAAGTTATACAAATGTTCAGGTCTTTCATTCATAGGGTTCCTATGAATCCTCTATGACTTGATGACACTTAACAATAACAACAACAACAACATATGTGGGGAGCTCTGATGGCTGAGTGGTAAGGAGCCATGTTGCCAATCCAAAGGCCTGCAGTTCAAATTCACCAGCTGCTCTGCAAAAGGATTGACTATCTCCTGCAGTGTCATTCACTGTGTCTGAAAACCACTGTAGGACCAAACATGAGTGAGTTCTGATTAAGCGGCACGTAACACATTTGAAGAATACCCAATGCCACACTTGTACATTGACCACTGAAAAACACACAGATTGATGAGAGGACAATGTGCACAGAAGGGGCTTGTGAAGCAGAAACGTGGGGACCAGTTTGGCATGAGTGTGTTCTTCACTTATTGAATACCTCCCACTCTATTGGGATTTTATAGATTTTATAGAGGATGGTAATGTGGTTAAATGGATATAATTAATAAAGGTTTAAGGTAGTCATAAAACACAATGCTCCAGTTGAAAAATACTGGAGGAAGATTTTTGGAAAGTTGGTTTCTGAACAATACATTTGGCAATAGAAAAGTAGCAGTCAAGGGGATGGATTTTGCAATCTGCTCTATATACTGGCTTTGTGACTTTGAACAAATTACATAATCTTCTCAAAGCCTCAGGTTCCTCAGTCGTGGGGATTCTAACTGAACTTATCTCATTATTGTGAGTAACTTATGAAATAATACTCATGAATGAACACCAAGCACTCAGCCCAGTTTCATGTTGAAGTGAGGTGGTCATGATCACATACATATCTCAGATGTAAGTGAAGTCAGGAGAAAACAGCTGTAAGTGTTACACACTTTCAATGTACCACTCATATTATGATGCTAGGTTGAGAAAGCTGGAGGGTATGACTATGTCATCACTATGAGGCATATGAAGCATATAAGACGTGTAAGGAGTAGATATGGAGAGTGACAGAACCCTAGAAGAACTGAAAATGAAAGTCAACTATCAAGAAAAGATCAAGGAAGGCAATAGTAATGGTATGGGGGTGGGAAGAGAATCATCTCTGGGGTCCAAGTGGTGGGGTGCAGTCAGCAGTGCTGAACCCAATGGATCACATTGTAGTTCCAACCAAATGCTCTCCATGAAAGATACATCCTATCCCCTCCTGCTCAATCTTCTCTTGAAGGTGAGCATTCCAATCAATCCATAATTTCTCAGACTTCATTCTTGATCTCTAAGAATGTCATCAGCCTTTCTAGGAATGTATATATGACTAAGCTAATTTTCATTTCTTTCTTTGAAATTTTGTATACTTCCCCCTGCCCTAGAAAGTCCATTACAGATTCTGTCAAGAAATGTCACTCTCCCAGGCTCAGAACGAGGCCAGGCTCAGGAGATGGTCTTTGTTACCAAGGTCACCAAGGTACCTGAGACACCTGAAGTGCTGCAGTTCACTCCAGAGACTGTCACAGAGAAGCCCACAGACATTGCCTGGCCCAAGGAAAGGGTTGCCCGAGGGTTCTGGGAAAAAATCATCAAGCCTGTAGAAGGCGATATACTGGAACCCTCAGAACAAACACTCAAACCCCTGGAAGGGGACACTCTGAAGCCATCAGAACAAACAACCAGAGACCTGGGAGGTGACATGCTGAAACTATCAGAACAAACAACTGAAACCCTGGGAGGTGACACTCTGATATCCTCAGAACAAACTCTCAGACCCCTGGAAGGGGACACTCTGAAGCCATCAGGACAAACAACTGAAGACTTGGGAGGTGACATTTCTCTATCCTCAGGACAAACAACTGAACCCCTGGAAGTTGACATCTTGAAGCCCTCAGAAGAAAAAACTGAACCCTTGGAAAGGGAGAAGGTAAAGGCGATCCAGAGCAAGGAGGACTTTGAGGCTGTGCTCAAAGAGGCTGGGGAGAAGCTGGTGGTGGTGGACTTTTCAGCCACCTGGTGTGGACCCTGCAAGATCATCAAGCCACTGTTCTACACCTTGTCCTACAAGTATGATGATGTGGTGTTCCTGGAAGTGGATGCTGACGAGTGTGAAGATCTGATTAAGGACTGTGGGATCATGAGCATCCCAACCTTTCAGTTTTACAGAAAAGAGGAAAAGGTGGGTGAATTCTGTGGTGCTCTTCGGGAAAAGCTAGAAGCTGTCATTACAGAATTAAAGTAATTGAGTTATTCTGAAAACACAGTAAACACTTGGCTGTTTATAGCTTGTGATTTTTTAAAAAGTATTCAGAGAATCAGAAATAAGAAGAGTATGTTTTCAAACATAACCTGATTATAAATGATAATAATTTACCCTTTTCAAAAAATAGTCACAGCATAGAATCTGTTGTAGCAATATTTTTGTTGCCAGGGAAAAGTAAAATTAGAATTTGCTTTGGTGGGGAATTGAATTACCAGTGTCCCTTGATTTTCTATCCTGGTTGTTTTTTCAATCTCCCTTAAAAATTCAGCCCTTTTAGAGAATATATACTGCAACATTAGCAATTGAGATAGTTGTTTATTTAAAGATCATCTGTAGATGAACATGACTCAAAAATAGTAACAAACTTTCTTTGTTTCTATGTCTTCGGGCTTGCTGATAAAAAAAAGTTAACACATTTGAAAGGTTCGCTTATCTAACCTTCTCATGGAGTATGCACTGGAGGCCTCAGGAAATAGAAAGTGGACCAAGCCTGTACATGATTTCTCAGTGGCAGACCTGTGACCAGGGCCACGTTCCCAGATTCCACATTCAAGTCTCTGCTAACCCAAGGCTCACAAAATCTGAAACAGCAAAACTTCAGACTTCTCAGACCAATAGCATTACAATTAAGGTTTCAGTCAATGTGAATCTTGGTGCCATTATGATGTCAGCAACCTAATAGCAAAGTTCCTGCATTGTTACTCTGGTAAATGAGTATTTGATACTTGCCCCCAGATTCTCACAGCTCAAAATCCCAGGTCTGGCCCATGTATAGTAGGTTGGTCCAGAGTGGATTTGTTTGGAGGTGGGTTTTTTGTTGCATTTCCATGATATTTTATTTGGTTATATTTCTCCTAAGACTATTTGTTTATACTTCTGAGAGTGCACTCTATATCTAATACCCATCACAGACACCACTTTTCAAAGGAATGAATTTCCACTCTTCCTCTTTTATTGTATGCCATTATTTTGACAATATCACAATAGATGGAGAAAAGATTGAAGTTGTCAATAATTTCATCTTACTTGGATATATAATCAACCCTCTTGGAACCAGCAGTCAAGAAATCAAAAGATGTGTTGCATTGGGCAAAATTGCTGTCAAGGATCTCTCCAAATTACTCTCTAAAATTTAGACCGCTTTTCTTTTTTTTTTATGTTTGGAACATTTTACTGTGATTTGAGTGCAAACTTATAGAGCAAATTAGTTTCTCATGCAACAATTTACACAGGTTTTGTTTCATGCCATTACTTGCCATTACTTGCACCCCTTCAATGTAACAGCACTCTCTCCATTTTCTTTCTGAGTTTCTCATCTTCCTGCCCTTTCTTGACTTTACAACTTAATTTTGTGACAAATGCTGCACTTTTCATCTCATACAGTTCATTGTTTTGAGAAGCAGGTTTCTCACAAGTGTCATTATCACAACAAGCTTTGGCTGACTCTGAAAAGAATGGGAATCCCAGAACATTTGATTGTGCTTACGCACAATCGAACCTATACTTGGACCAAGAGGCAGTCGTCAGAACAGAGCAAGGAGACACTACATGGTTGAAAATCACGAAGAGGGTACATCAGGGATGTATTTTGTCTCCATACCTTTTCAGTCTGTATGCAGAACAGATCATCCGGGAAGCTGGGCTGTATGAGGAGGAATGTGGCATCAGGATTGGAGGAAAAGTCATCAATAACCTTTGTTATGCAGATGACACAACCCTGTTTGCTGAAACTGAGGAGGGTCTGAAGCACTTGATGCAGAAGGTCAAGGACTGCAGCCTTCAGTATGGATTGAAGCTCAACATCAAGAAAACAAGGATTCTCACCACTGGGCCAATCGGCAGTATCAGTATAGATGGTGAAGAGATTAAGATAGTTAATGGTTTTAGTTTACTTGGTTCCATAGTCAACACTCTTGGTAACAGTAGCCAGGAAATCAGGAGATGAATTGCATTGGGAAAGCCAGCTGTGAGGGACCTCTCAAGAGTACTGAAGAGCAACGAAGTCAGGCTGGAGACTACGGTGCATCTGATCTAGGCTATAGTCTTTGCAATTATGTGCTATGCATCGGAGAGTTGGACAGTGAATAGGGATGATAGAGAATTGATGCCTTTGAGCTGTGGTGCTGGAGAATAGTGTTGAATAGACTGCTAGGAGAAGAAACAGGTTTGTCCTGGAGAGGATGAAGCCAGAATACTTCTTGGAGTAAAGTATTCTGAAGCTTCGTCTGACATACTCTGGGCATGTTGCAAGGAGGGACTGGTCCTTGGAGAGGGACATCATGTTTGGGAGAGTGGAGAGACAGCACAGGAGAGGAAGACTCTCGATGAGATGGATCAATTCTGTGATTGGGGTGGTGGGAATGAATGTGTCAGAGACGGCGAGGTTGGCACAGGATAGAAAGGCGTTTAGGGTTCTCGTACATAGGGTCGCTATGAGTCACAAGCAACTCGATGGCACAAAACAACAATGAAAACAACATTATTTAGGCCTATTGTTTAACTAAAAAGTAGTCTCCTGGAGTAGATTCAGTTCCATGTTTGAAGATTGTTTAAGGGCCAAAATAGCATCATAGTTTACAAGTATGTAAGGAGTGAGGTTTTTTGTTTTTTTTTCTATAATTATATTTTATTAATTTTCATAAACATTTACAGAGATTTTGGGTTTCCATTCATTCATTGTTGCACTATTCTCTCT